AGGGGAGCGACGCTGCCTGGCAACCACTCTCTCGCCCACAACACTTCGCTCTCTATTTCTTGCTTTTTATCTGTACTCTCTAACTCTACATATTGAATAGGGTAGCAGTACTCTACTCAAAGGGTAGCAGTACTCTACTCAAAGGGTAGCAGTACTCTACTCAATATTAAGAGTGTTAATACGAAAATTGCCTTCATGATGTACTGCAAGCCTATCCTCCGGGCTGTTTTATTTCATTTAGTATGCCCTTTATACCCCATCCTGCGACTGGTAGTGGAAAATGTTATGGAGGCCCATAAGGGGTTCCGTAACTGAACACCTAGAATTCATAGTTTAATGTATATGTCAAGTTTTTTATAGCGTATTGGGTTCAAGAACTGGACAACAACAGAAAAAATAAGGATTGTAAATCCACGGAACCGCTTAATTGCCAAGCAGTCAATATTGTCAACACAATATTGCGGTTCAAAATCCAGTTTGAAAAAATGTCAGGGAGAATTGGAGAACTTTTGACAAGCCCCCGTCTCCCTGTCCCCCGTTGTGAACATTAAATAAATAGTGGCCCCCCTCATGTAAAGTCAAGCAATTTACATTCTGGATACTAGTAACAGGATGAACAACCCAACAGGTTTTCTTCCTATTGGGGGAGTGTTATACATGTTGCTATGGCGGTGTGACCACTCACAGGATGAGAGGCGCTGCCCGATAAACTCGCCCGTCGGGGCAAAATTTTAAAAATAAAAAAAAACTACACTTCCATAAAATGTTGACATCACTTGCACCCAGCACCCATCTAGTGAGCGGTGGAGGAACTACAATAAGCAAACGAGATATTCGGCTAAGATTTCTGGTAGTAAATCATTTTCTATAAAATGCATACGCATTTCTGGAACGTTTGTGATGGAATTACTTTTAAATTCTGTATCTTTTTTTTCGGTGCGATAACTTCATGACGGACACATACTCGATAACCTCAAGGACACATATACAATAACTTCAAGGGCAATCCTGACTGTATCATCTTATCATGATGACTATCAATTCAATTTCTTTCTTTATTATGCACCCCATCCCCATCCCGTTGGCGGTGGTGTAAAGGATTATAGAGGCACATAATCGATTCAGGAACTGAACTCTCTAGTTCGTTTGGCTAAGCAAATAACAATCTCTTAATTCTTTTAATAGATGTCACAGACGTGACATCTATATAGTAGGTATATAAAAACACGCGTATTCGATGAAACGTTGTCAAAATTTCAAAGCAATCGGTGAAGAACTTTCGGAGATTAGCGATTTTGAACAAAACGAACATTTACATTTTTATTTATAAAGATTTTACATAAAGGATAAACTGCTCAAAATATCATAAATTTTTAGGTAGTGTACTGTAGTCGTGATCACTGTTCAAGGCTAAAGTATACTTGCCGACAATAAGCTATTGTGATGACCCTTATAATCCTCCAGAGGTTGACAGGACTTGCAAAACCTCATCAAAAGGTTCCTCTTACAATGTGCAGGAGTCAAAGCAGTGCTCTATAACGCATGACAAACGGCACTTAGAAGCCTAACCCTCACAATCCAGCTTTCGTAAAATTGGAAGGTAATCAACATTTAATTGATTCAACCATTGTTAAATACAGCGTGTTGACCAGACCACACACTAGAAGTTGAAGGGACGACGACGTTTCGGCCCGTCCTGGACCATTCTCAAGTCGATTCGGGCCGAAACGTCGTCGTCCCTTCAACTTCTAGTGTGTGGTCTGGTCAACATACTTCAGCCACGTTATTGTGACTCATCGCCTGCATACAGCGTGTATTTAATTTTATGTGTTTAATTACCTTTAATGTTTGTTATATATTTACTTAGTGCATGCAAAACCAGAAATTAAATTCAAATAATTCAAAATAAACAAAGAGTTAGGCTTTCGTTGAGATCTCTGCCTTCTCCTAATAACTAAGCCGCTTATTTAAACATGTTTCAATTTATATGAAATGAGTGTCGGGTGTATGATAGGCCCATTAAAATCCAACCCGTTCTCGCAAATTAGTAAAGTCAATATTGACTTATTAACTACGTGCATAGGTGATATACTAAACATAATAGATACCCTTAAAAAGATTCATAGAAAACACCGACCTTACCTAACCTTGTTAGTATCTTAAGATAAGCATCTTATTGCTTCGTAATTACAATTATTACTAACACCGACCTTACCTAACCTTGTTAGTATCTTAAGATAAGCATCTTATTGCTTCGTAATTACAATTATTACTTAACCTATACCTATTGTGCATTGTATGTACTAGCTCCTATCTATAAAGCCAACAAACTTTGTAAAATCTCTTTATGTATGTACCTTTGCCTAAATAAAAATTATTATTATTATTATTATTATTATAGGTTAGGTAATAATTGTAATTACGAAGCAATAAGATGCTTATCTTAACATACTAAGTAGGTTAGGTAAGGTCGGTGTTTTCTATGAAGCTTTTCAAGGGAAACTATTATGTTAAGTATGTCACCTATGCACATAGTTAATAAGTCAATATTGACTTATTAAATTTGCAAGAACGGGTTGTTAAAATCATATGCAATTAATTCACCACAGAAGTAGCTTTCTTGCCTCAAACTTCAAGCATTCGGCTCCAGTAACTGACCCCACTTGACTATAACCTTTCTGACACTCACCCACAAGATGGTTATGGTGTCCTTAATCATCTAATTCACCTAAAATTGAGTAGAATGTGTTGATGTATTAAGTAAATAAACTAAAAACAAATTCCGGTTGCATATGTAGGTTTAACACAGTTTAGCCTTCGAGATAACACCATTGATGGACGTGTTTTCTTTATTCAATATTGCTGGCAAGGGAGGGAGGGAAACAGGTACTGGTAAGGGAGGAAGACCCTTAACAATAAACAACTTTGAGAAGCAATGGAAAATTAGCACCAACAAACAAAAGTTTCAGATAATACACATTGCGAAAAGAAACCCGGACCCCATCATCCTTGACAACCAGCCGATCCAATATGCGGAGGTAGGCAGAATACTGGGACTTATGATAAATAGAACAGGGATACAAACTCATGTAAGGGACCGACTAAACAAAGCCAAAGCAGCCTTAGGAAAATTGAGGAGATTCCGAAGCCTCAGTACTAACATTCAGATCCACCTATATAAGGCTCTAGTTCGGCCGCATCTAGAATATCCCCCAGTACCACTACACACCATAAAGAAAACTAACATGCAGAAACTGCAAGCAGTCCAAAATAAGGCGCTAAGGAGAGCAGCAAAACACCGTCCACCATATGATCAGGCAATCCAGGAGCTCCATGAGCTCCTGAACATACAGCCACTGAACATCAGACTGCAGCACCAAGCCATCAGGGTGTGGAACACCATCGAAATGTTAGAGGACCCAATGTTAGAAAGATTACTCCAAGATGAGACGCCCCGCTCCCACAGCTGGTGGCCCAAGAGCCTCGATTCACTAGATGCAAACCCCGCCCCACAGTACATAATTCCCAGATGATATACTAACCAGATATCCTTCCCCATAATTGAAAAATTGAGTATGTATGTGTATAGTTGTGTATATGCATCTGTATATGGGTATATATATGTATATGGGAATATATATGCATGTATGTATGTGTATATATATATGTGTGCATATGTATATATCTGTGTATGTATATATGTATATATATATATACATATATATACATATATGTGTGTGTGTTTGTGTGTGTGTGTGTGTGTGTGTGTGTGTGTGTGTGTGTGTGTGTGTGTGTGTGTGTGTGTGTGTGTGTGTGTGTGTGTGTGTGTGTGTGTGTGTATGTATATATGTGTATGAACAACTCAATAAATAATAATAATAAAATAAAGAGCCTTAAATAGAACATGTGTACTCACCTATTTGTGCTTGCGGGGGTTGAGCTTTGGCTCTTTGGTCCCGCCTCTCAACTGTCAATCAACTGGTGTACAGGTTCCTGAACCTACTGGGCTCTATCATATCTACATTTAAAACTGTGTATGGAGTCACCCTCCACCACATCACTGCCTAATGCATTCCATCTGTTAACTACTCTGACACTGAAAAAGTTCCTTCTTACGTCCCTGTGGCTCATTTGGGTACTCAGTTTCCACCTGTGTCCCCTTGTCCTGTATGTGTGGAAGCATCGGAGTGTGTATATATGAATGGTACACAGTATTCATCTATAGACATCCACATATGGTGAAACACATGTGAAGAACCTCTCACACACTCACAGCTCCCTGACAAGAGGGAGCCAGCTTAGCTTAGCTGCCAACACCCACACATGGTGTCAGCAAGGCGGACAGCCCGCCTGCTTTCATACCTCTCACTGTATTTCCCACTTCTATACTTCCCTTCACCTATGCCTCTCCTTCCTCTTTACTCCCCCCCTCCAAAAAAAATCCTCCTTCGTTGCCATCGAAGCGGTTTGCACTGCACATGTGTGGTGTTGATAACTTTTCCACGGACATAACCTACTTATCTAATCACCAGTGATGATTCCCTAGATACTCGGGAAGTCCCTGATCTATAATTTGATCTATAATTTGACCATAAGAACTCTTATCAAGAAGGAGTGAAGTTGAGCTCGGGTGCCAGGAGTCCAGCCAGGTTTCCCCCAATGTGACATCATCCTAGCAACCGCTTTAAGCGCACATTAATGACACTGTAAAAACACACCTCGAACACTGTTTATGTAGGACAGACGTAAATCTGTGTATTTATGTTTGTAGGTTAGCCTAGCATTTTAAAAGCACTACACTCCCCTTCTGTGGTTGATTGTTCAATAAATCACTGAATTATATCTTTAACAGATCTAACCCTGTCCATGGAAGACAGAAGAAAATGTATATATGCTGGTATATTGTAATATGTACACTGTAATATGCTGGTATGCTGGATATATGCATTGTTAATTTGTGGCCACGTCTGTGGTAGAAAGAAAAAAAACGCTTCAAGAAG